ATTTCTTTAAAAATGAGTTTTTAAAAATAATTTTTGATTTTTTGATTTTTTTTATATTTTATAATGTTTTATTTTAATCTTTTAAAAGATTTTTAATTATTGGAGTATATAATCTCTTTTTATAATAATAATATAACTAGATAAAGAGATATAATGATAATACAAGGGACGGATCTGAGAAAAAAAAATAGAGTAATTGTACAAGAGCTAAATTATTTTTTTATTAATCTCGAGTAAATACAAGACAATATTGTTTAAATATAACTCTTAATCATTTGATATTCATTTGATATTGAATGATTACACATCTGACATTTCTTATGTATGAACCCTAAACCCTCAAAAAATAATAACAATTCTTTTATCACCAAAATTACTTGGTTCGTGATACAAAAGCCAAATTAAGAACTAAAGTACACATGTATTGAGCCTTAGTATTATTAAAATGGGGTGTAGTAAAATGTAATGGACTTTATTAAATATACTCTTACTTTGGGACACCAGGGTCAAACCCAAGTAATATATAAAAGGACATCATATATATATATATATATATATTGTTTCTAACTGTATCAGTTTAATCATTAAACTGCTATTTAATTTTTTTAACTTTTTTTTTGAGTTCTTTGATGACATAAAAATAATTGATACCAACATTTCAATAAGGACATAATAATATTATTGTTCTATCATGTTTGGGTATTTTTTGACAAAAACAAAACAAAACAAAAATATTAGGGCCAACAAGAATACAATAAAAAAGTTTAAGAGTCAAAATAAGTAAGTTAAGGGGCCAAAAAGTTCATTCTTCCATTAAAAAAATTTGACGTTTAGATTAAAAACATTCTTAGTTCAAGAGATTTAATTTTCATTTTCTTTAAGACTAATTTTCCCAATTGGATAATATTTTTACGCATTCAGTACTTAAATTATCAATTTTGGTCCATTTTAGTACCTGAACTTTTAATTTTCTTTTAAAATCATACATAACGTTTTGTTGTTCCATTTTTGTACTCGTCGTTAAAAATTTATCGCATTTAGTACCTAAACTATTAGTTTTTATCGGTTTTAGTACCCAAACTTTAAAAAAAATCAAAATTTAACGTTAAAATTTGAACGGGTACTAAAATGAAACAAAAACTAAACTTTTGGTATGGTTTTAAAAAAAATTAAAAGTTTTGATACTAAAACGGACCAAAACTATTAGTTGGGGTATTAAATTTGTGCGTTAGGTCTTCGCCAGTATATATAATTTTTTTCATTATCATACTAGAATTTCATGTTTACGATCATGTTGAGCAAGTTTCCTAAGCCCAGTTCCTTTCTCTTCTTTGAACAAAAAGGATGGAAAAAGTAGAATTCAAAAGAGCAGCAACTCGAGCTAAAATCATCGGCACCATAGCATCAATATCCGGAGCATTTGTCATGATTTTCTACAAAGGCCCCATAATCATTTCATCTTCACCTTGGTCATCATCATCGTCATCTGTTCTACAACTTCAAAGGCCTTTGGAATCTTCTCAATCTAACTGGATCATTGGTGGCATCCTCGAAACTCTTGCGTTTCTTCTTTATTCGTACTGCTATATCAATCTGGTAATATACATGACCCCGAGCTCCACCATAAATTCTTTAATATCAAGCACCTAATCCTTATGATGCCGACGTGTATGCATCTTTACAGGCACAAACAATGAAGTTATATTCAGATGAGTTTGTTGTAACCTTCTTTTACAACTTGTCTGTGGCCCTTCTGGCTATACCAGTGGGCTTAGTTGCAGAACTACAGACGAGTTCTTGGAGACTAACAGATAGTGCATCAGTTGTTGCAGTCCTGTACACGGTAATACTTTGGTATTCGAATACATTATTTGCAGTATTGGAATGTCATTTACTTGTTTGTTTATGGCTGCTTGTTTAGGGGATTTTCGGGTACTCATTTAGCGCGGTTGTACACACATGGGGTGTACGGCTGAAGGGGCCAGTGTTTGTTGCAATTTTCGCACCGACTTCCATTGTTATAGCTGCTGTTATGAGTGCCATATTCCTGGGCGAAGCAATTTATCTTGGAAGGTAATAGAAATCTAATGCTTTATAAGTTGAAAATAATTGGTATATAAAAGCAATAAGAGGGTGAATCAAAGTTAATTTTGCAGCGTGATCGGAGCGGTGATCATAACTGCTGGTGTTTATGCTGTGTTATGGGGAAAAGCCAAAGAAGCAGAAGAAATGAGAGATGAAGAGTCCTGCGGCTTAACCGGGTCTGGAGTCTGGACCCTCGTCTGATGGTTGGGTTCCGTTGCTGCGGAGTCACAATATTTTGAAGGTTAAACTACATGTCTAGTATCTAAACTAACAATTTTGTTTCGTTTAAGTATCTAAACTTTTTTTTTGTTTTAAAATCATACATAATGTTTTTATTTTATTTTAATATCCGTCATTAAAAATGAAACCTAAACTGCTTCACCTTGTATTTTTATGGATAAATTACATCATTCATCATTTAACTATTTTTTCACTCTTTTTTTAATTACTAAAATTTTAAAATTTTCAATTTAACTACTCAACTTTTAAATTGCACATGTTTTAATCACTATATCTTATTTTATTAATAATTTAAGTGTCATGATATTTTTATTATTATTAATTGATATATAATTAAAATAAAAAATTTCAAATTTCAAATAATTAAGTTAGGAGTAATTTGAAAGTAAGTAATTAAATTTAAATTATTAAAATAGAAGTGAGAAGATAGTTGAGTGATGAATGATGTAATTTACGTACAAAAATATCACGTCATAATAATTATGTTAAGTTTTTAACGATGATGGGTACTAAAATGAAATAAAAAGTAAATATTAGGCATGATTTTGAAACAAACGAAAGTTTAAATACCAAAACAAATTAAAATTGATAATTTAGGTACTAAACATGTAATTTACCCTATTTTAAAGCAATATTTGTAAACGTTTTATAATGCGCCCGACTTAAATTAAAAACATAATTTAACTATATTTATAAAAAAAATAAAAAATATATATATACATAATAATTTAATAAAATTAATAATATAAAATTTAGTTATCAATTTTTCCAACCGTTATTTATTAGTTAAAATAACATTTCATAAAATAATTCTTAATTTTTTTCTTCTTATTGAAATAATATTTTCTTTTTACCCACATTTTTTCTCTTCACATCCCTCTCTCCTATGCATACACGCAAAAATTAATTCCTATTATTTTTATTTAATTCTGATTGGTAAAATTCAATTTGGGTGGGTGAAATATAAATTGAATAATTGGTATTAATATGTAGATGAAGCTTGGATTTTATACTGTGTACCAATACAAAATCAGAAATTAATATTTTTTTACATGGAGCAATTGAATATTTCAAATGATAAACAAAAAATTAGAAAGTTTTTAAAATAAATTAGATACAAAATCATTTTCAAGGGCCTATTTAAATTTTTAGTGACCTATTTGTTATTTTTGAAACTTCAATGAGGAGAACAAAACTTACTCAAATATTAGTGACAATTTTTGTAGTTTACCCTTTTTAATTTTATAAATTCACGTCCTCAATCCGTTATAGTTAAAGGTCTAATGGCAGTTAACCTTTAGTGACCACATCTTAATTAAATAAAAACAAATGTGATCAAATCTTAATTGAATAAAAATAAAAGTGATCATATATTATATTTTTTGAATTCAGTAAAAAAAATGCACACAACTTAAAGGGAAGTGATCAATTATGTAGTTTATCCTAAAATTTAAACATGAGTTGACAGGGAAAAAATAATTGATTTAGAATAGGCTTATATCACAAATAAGTACTTAAATTATTCTTCAATTTCCATTTAAATTACCTAAAGTATTTTATGCCAAAATATGTACTTAAACTATTCAAACCTTTTCATCTAAGTTCTAAAAAAGTTGACATGTGACATTAATTAAAGAATACTTTAGGTACTTAGATGAAAACATTGAATACCTTATATACCTATTTTGATAAAAAAATATTTTAGCTACGTATTTTGACTAAAAAGATAATTTTAGGTAGTTATTTTGATCAAAAAATAATTTAGGTACTTAAATGAAAAAGAGCACATACTTTAGGTCCTTATTTGTTATATAAGTATTTAGAATAATTGCTGAAAAAATATTTAATCAATAAAACCTCGTTGATATATTCGATAATCATTCATTCATTCATTCATTCATTCATTCATTCATTCATTCATTCATTCATTCATTCTTCACCTACTCCACTAGTGTGAAACAAATCATTTGTATAGATTTGTTGGTGTAATTAAATATACAAATAAAATCCTAGATTAATTAATCAAAAAAGTACGAAAAAGGCATTGGAATTTATTTGAGAAGTCTTTGTTTTTCCCCCAAGGCAGGGGAAGAAGTGTGAGATTACATGAGAGTGAGCCATGGAAATATTACCAAGCTTAGCCATGGTTGCAGTGGGGTGTTCACACGTAGTCACAACCATTCTATTCAAAGCTGCTTCTTCGAAGGGGATGAGCTATTACAACTTCATTGATTACTGTTATGTTTTAGGCACCTTGGTTTTCACACTTCTAGTCTTCTTTAGGTCTCTTTTTGATTTCTGAACTCTTCATTTCTTCAATGTCTGGTTTGTACACTTCATCTTCTTCGTTTAACATTTGATATGTTTGCAGAAAGACAGTGTTTCCTCCTTCGAAGTTCCCTCTCATCTCCAGACTTTGCCTTCTTGGGATTTCAGGGTATGGCAGAATAGGCACTTACACTTACACATACACATACACATATACAAAGAAATCTGTAAATATATGTAAAACCCATGATTGGTTGAGCTTTGGAGACAGGTATTTAGGTATGATTTGTGCGTTTAAAGGTATAGAAGTGGGCTCTCCAACACTTGCATCAGCCATTAGCAACCTCAAACCAGCTTTTACCTTATACTTGCTGTCTCCTTCAGGTTCCTTGTTTGTTTATTTCATGTTTATGATAATGCTTGAGCTAGTTTCCTAAACCCCTTTGTTTTCTCCTTGTCTTTGAACATTGGAATGTGTAACAAGGATGGAAAAGGTAGAATTGAGGAGAGAAACAACTCAAGCTAAAATAATTGGCACCATAACATCAATATCTGGTGCATTAGTCATCACTTTTTACAGAGTCCCCAAAGTTTTTTCATCTTCACCTTGGACATCATCATCTTTTGTACAACTCCAAAGTCTCTTTCAGTCTTCTAGATCAAATTGGATTTTTTGTGGCATCCTCGAAGCTATTGCATATCTTCTTTATTCATTCTGGTATGTAATTCAGGCAAGAACTATACATGCTTCCAAGCTCAACCATGAATTCTTTAATATCTTACATAAAGTTATGGTGTGTTCTGAACTCGAATTTTGTACAACGTTACAAGTGATATATCCAGAAGAGATTGTTGTAAATTTATTTTACAACTTGTCTGTGGAACTTTTAGCTGTACCAGTTTGCTTGATAGCATACCACAGTTGAGTTCTTGGAGATTAACACAATATATCAGTTGTTGCAGTCCTATATTCGGTAATACTTGCCGATAATCAATGCCGAATACATTATTCAGAGTGAACTGTTGAAGGGACCTGTGTTTGTTGCAATTTTCAAGCCAACCTCAATTGTCATAGCTGTTGTTATGAGTGCCATTTTCCTTGGCGAAGCACTTCATCTTGGAAGGTAAAAGCAGCATGATAGGGGCAGTGATCATAACCTGTGGCCTTTATGCTGTATTATGGGGCAAAGCAAAAGAAGCTGAAGAAATTAGAGATGAAGAGCCCTCGTCCAGTGGCAGGGTCCCTTTGCTGCAAAGCTATAAATGTTGAACAAATGTGTAGGACTCCTTTGCCTCGTCGGGGACTCATTTCCACAACAGCATCCCTGATCATTTCATCATGATATTTTTCCAAAGATCCACTGCTCTCCTCCATTAGTACCCCATCTTTGTTCTTAACCTTTTCTCGTCGCCCTCAGTTCCTACGACTGAATTGTTTTAGAATAATTGGAGAAAATGTATTTAATCTACAAAACCACGTTGATATCAATATAATAACATATTCAATAGTCATCCTTCACCTACTCCATTAGAGTCAAACAAATAATTTGTACAGATTTGTTAGCGTAATTAAATAATACCATTGATTCTAGATTAATTAATTAACAAATAAAATAATCAAATCAAGAGTACGAAGAAGGGGTTGTAAATTACTTTAAAAGTCTTGGTTTTTCTCCCAAGTTAGGGGAAGAAGAGTGAGCCATGGAAGTATTACCAAGCTTAGCCATGGTTGGAGTGGAGTTTTCAAACGTGGTCATAAGCATTCTATTCAAAGCTGCTTCTTTGAAGGGGCTGAGCTATTACAGCTTCGTTGCCTACTGTTATGTTTTAGGCACCTTGGTTTTCACCATTTTAGTCCTCTTCAGGTCTCTTTTTAACTCTTCATTCCATTCAAATCAATGTCTGGTTTGTATATATTAGCTTCTTTGTTTAATCTGATATGTTTGCAGAAAAACTGTGTTTCCTCCTTTGAAGTTCCCTCTCGTCTCTAGACTCTGCCTTTTTGCGGTTACAGGGTAAGACACCTAAACAAATCTGTAAATTTATAGAAACCCCATGGTTTTTTGACTTTTTCTGAAACAGATATTTAGGTTTGATGTGTGCATATAAAGGTATAGACTTGGGGTCACCAACTCTCGCCTCTGCCATTAACAACCTCACACCAGCTTTTACCTTCATACTTGCTGTCTCCTTCAGGTTTCTTATTCATTCTTCCCTTGATCTTTGTTATATATAAGAAACTCCTAGTTTGAAGATAAGATGAAAGAGATCTAAATGTTAGTATTCAAATCTGAAACTGTTAAATATCATCATGAAAACCTTTTGATAACGATTGAGCTAACTAATCATGTTAAATCATATCTCTTAAGGACTATTAACTCTTTATATAGACTGAATATTAGATCATTTATAATTATGTCATTCATCAAATTATAAATACAATTTATGATATCTACATTTTGTTTCCATGACACTTTAATATCTATAACACATGCAACATACTTGATCACTTAATCTTATATCATATTTTATGATAACATTATACATATATATACCTATAAATTATGAATTTTAATCCAACGGCTTCCCTTTCTCTGTCTTCGAACATTGGCATAAAAAAGGATGGAGAAAGTAGAATTGATAAGAGCAGCAACTCAAGCTAAAATCATTGGCACCATAACATCAATATCTGGTGCATTGGTCATCACTTTCTACAAAGGCCCCTTAGTTATTCCATCATCATCATCATCATCATCATCTGTTCTACAACTTCAAAGACCTTTGGAGTCCTCTCAATCAAACTGGATTATCGGTGGCATCCTCGAAGCTATTGCATATCTTCTTTATTCCTGCTGCTATATTCTTATGGTAATATGTGCGTGTGTTTCCAAGCTCCACTATGAATTCTTTACTACCCCAAAACTAAGCTTGATTGTTGTAAAACTTGACAGGCTCAAATAATGAAGATATATCCCGAAGAGATTGTTGTAACTTTTTTTTTCAACTTGTCTGTGGCCCTTTTAGCCTTACCAGTATGCTTTATGGCACAACCACAGTTGAGTTCTTGGAGTTTAACAGATAGTGTATCAGTTGTTGCAGTCCTATATACGGTAATACTTTGGTATTCAAATACATTATTTGCAGTATCGAAATGTCACTTATACGTTTATGGCCTACTTGTTTAGGGGCTCTTTGGGTTCTCATTTAGCTCATGTACTCATACATGGGGTGTACGCTTGAAGGGGCCTGTGTTTGTTGCAATTTTCAGGCCAACCTCGATTGTTATAGCTGCTGTTATGAGTGCCACATTACTTGGTGAAGCGCTTTATCTCGGAAGGTGATAAAACTATGTTCTCATTTTAACTTATATATTAAAGGAATAATAGAAATAATCAAAGTTGATTTTGCAGCGTGATCGGGGCAGTGATCATAACAGGTGGTCTTTATGCTGTGTTATGGGGCAAAGCCAAAGAAGCAGAAGAAATGAGAGATGAAGAGCCCTGTGGCTTAAGCCCCTTAAGACCCTTAAGACCCTCGTCTAGTGATCGGGTTCCTTTGCTGCAGAGTTACAAATGTTGAATAAATGCGTAAATATTGTAATGGCCAACGCTTTCAAATTTCAAAAATATCCATTGACAATGATCAAATGCCTACAAATTGGCAGGTAAAAAGACTTCATTAGTTTGTCTTACCATTTTCGTAGACTTAAAATTTAAAATCTTTCTCAATTTTCGATTATGATAAATGTATTTGTGTTACCATTTATGTAGATCCTGAGATCCACTTAATCTCTGTTATATCTATCCAGCAACTTACTTTATATGATATATTTATAAATATATATATCGTAAATTGGATCATAGGGTAATGTATTGGGATCTTAGGATGATAATAAAATGGATCTTCGGATTATATTTTTTAAGGGTAAAGTGCACAAATGATCCCATGATTATGGGGTATTGTTTTATTAAATCTCTTGACTACTAAAAGTTACAAAATGATCTTTCGATTATAGAATGTTGCTTTGTTAAATCCCTTGACTATTAAAAATTACAAATTGGTCAACCGACTATCTATTATGTTCTAAATCCGTCATTTTCTGTTAAAAGATTGACGATTGTCTAAGCTGGACATTAAAATTATGATTAAGATATGATAGTCGTTTGAGATTCTGGAATTATATTTTATCATATCACAGTTAACATATCAGCATTTAACTCATACTATCGTTAATTTTAATGGAAAAATACGAGTTTAGAATATAATGAATAGTTGAGCGACCATTTTGTAACTTTTAATAGTCAATGGACTTAATAAAATAATATTTTATAGTCAGGGGACTATTTATGTAATTTATTTTTTAAAAATATGTTTATTATGTGTTGGGCAGACGAGGATGACACTAAACAAATGGGGATAACCATATTATGTTTATTATGCAAGTCTCGCAGGAAGTGAGATGAAAAAGGAGGCTAACAAACAGGACCGGGGGGGAGATGCACACCCTGAGCATTCAGAAGCTGCCGCACGAACCAACACTCTCATGATATGATCAACAGTCTCACCAGAGGACTGACAAAAGGAGCAAACATTTTTAACGTTGAGCCTCCGGTGCCGCAGATTTGCAAAAGTTGGCAAAAAATTATACCCACATCTCGGCATAAAACTTTGATACAGCCACAGATTGCGTCATTAGAATGAAACCATGAGCTGTAACCGGATCGCCCCTTTGCAGTCTGTAGCCACTCTTCACTGAATAATTCTTAGAGCCATCAGGATGTCAAACTAAAACATCAGACATTCCAGCTCTACACAAAGGGATGGAGGATATCCCGGCCACCTGGTCTTCATCAAACAGGTCCTTCAACACATCGTGTCTCCAGGTAGCAGTCGGAGCATCAATGAGATCAGACACAGTCGTGAGATTAATATCAATTCGTTGGCTTTTGATCCTACTATCACCAAGGCCTGGTAACCAAGGATCATTCCAAATGTTTACCTTGTCACTTGAAACGATACGCCATCCATAACTTCTTTCAATCAAGCCTCTAGAGCTCCATATGCTTCTCCATTTTGATGCGGACGAGAATTGGAGTAGTAATAATCTTACGAGATTTAACCAAATCGATTTGGAATCTGTATCTATTCATGAAGTAGGACATATATTAGGACTGGACCTAGATGCGATTATGTACGCATATTATATGTCTGGTTCTATCAAAAGGGATCTCGGCCAAGATGATATTGAAGGCATACGAGCTTTGTATTCTGACTAGTAACGAATGAGATTTAAATTATACTAGTTTGTGAATCGAATAAATGAATTAAGTTCAAATAATATAAAATTTATATGCTCAAAAAAAATTCTTTAATATTTCAATATTTTAATGTTACTTCAATTAACATCATTATCGATATAATATAATGTGAACATGAGATTTAACATGTTTAAATATGGGTAAAGTACACTGATAGTCACTGACTATAAATATTTTTTATTAAGTTCATGGTTATTAAAAGTTTCAAAATAATCCTCTAATTATAGGGAGTTGTTTTTTGAGTTTATTGACTATTAAAAGTTACAAAATGGTCACCCGACTATTCATTATGTCTCAGACTCTTCCTTTTTCGTTAAAAATCTGATGGCAGTTTGAGTTGTATGTTAACTTGCAGAATGAGATTTTATCAAATTTGATCTCATAATTTCAAAAGACTATCATATCTCAGTTAACATGTTGAAATCCAACTCAGACAATCGTTAATTTTTAAATGGAAATGTAACACCCCCAACCCGTACCGACCCGGATACGAGTCCGAGATGTCACATTGACTTTTTAAAACAATATTCTTACAAAATAACAGAAAATTTGGACTTATATTAAGAAAATACAATAATATAATGTTGAATTATGTTTCGTTATAAAAATTTAAGATAAAAATGTTTTATGAACAATATTATATTGTATGAATAGTACGATATTGTATGAACAATAATGCACAGTAATGAACAGTACCAATGCACAAAAACATCAAATGTAAAATTTGTATCGATACTGCTACAGTGTATCGATACACTGCTACAGTAATTTTAGCCCAACATATATAAAACTCATAAAAATATTTAAATTTTCATCACTATAAAGTTATCAGTTACATAAATACGTTTAAAACATTACAAAACTCGATCAGAGCATACATACTTAATTTAACGACTTTGTTTACATGCCAACCTATTTATCACATATCAAGACATACTGTGTAATTTACTTCTGATTTGATCTTTGAACGGAGATATATTGTTCCTTTGAACTTAGCTTTGATCCTTTTGCTTCTCAGTACCTACGTGTAAATCACTTACACGCTAAGTCATAGACTTGGTGAGGCATAAAAACATAATAATAATGTTTCCTTTACATATAAACATGTAAACTAATTATTCAATCATGTCACAGATGATGCAGTATACATAATAACATATGATAATGCAAACACTTTTGATACTTTTTTTTCAGCCCATGTACATTATTGAGAACTTAAGGTATGTGAGTACATTGAGGTTGTGCACAATTATGTTGTCACCACAGCTCGTATAAATGTCCCGAAGGACCAGTCCATATGTTCCGAAGAACCAGTCTATATGTTCTGAAGAACATAGGTAATCAGTCCATATGTTCCGAAGAACATAGGTAAACAGTCCATATGTCCCGAAGAACATAAGTAACCCTCGACTCTTGGCATGCCAACTATATCACTAGCTCATATCATATAACATGGTCACTATTATTAAGCTTCATATATATATATATATCATGCATTCATATCATTGCTCTTATGCTCACATATTTCTTCTCTCTTCTATCACATACACATGTATGTGTAAAAATCTATCTCATATCACATAACCTATATCAGATATTGCATATTCATGTAATCATGTAGATCAAGCCACATATACTAACATATGCCCATTTTCATGTACCATGCACACATAAGAATCACATCAATCATATAACATTTTAGGAGTCACTTCTTACTATAGTAACTCCATCACTGGCTCATCGCAAGCCAATGTTTGTTCGATAATATAAGTACAAATTTAAATTGCACTCACCTTAGCCTTGTTTGCTTTGATTCGATCCTAATTCTTCGATTGTTCCGGAACAAGATTACGTTCTATATCTACACAATAATACATAGATTCATATCAATATTCCCATTAATATACTCTAATCTTCATTTTCTTAAACTAAAGGAAATACTACTTTCATTTCTTATTTAATGTATGTATCGATACATTCCTTAACTGGTGTATCGGTACACTGCCTATGTATCGGTACATAAATTACATTCGATGTTTTCCATTTCAAAGTGTATCGATACACTCATTGCATTCAATGTTTTTCATTTAATAGTGTATCGGTACATATTAAATATGTACCGATACACCTTGACCAGAAATCATATTTTAAGCACGAAAATTCACTCTTTCAACTTCAATACTTCATGTTTCCTCCCCTTTTATGTTCTTAACTCACATACATGTACTTAAACCAATTTATACTCGTTTATTACATCTTAAACCTCAAAATCTTATTATCCATATAGAATTCAAGAATCATATTAAATTTCCAACATGTTCTAAATCAATTCTATCACTTCATATCTCTTACTTAAGTTGATGACAAGTCAAATTCCATCTCCAAATTCCTTTATCAACTCTTTTAGAAATTCATTTAAAAACCTCTTATTTTTAATCTCTCATAGATTCTTCATCTTTTAATTATAAGACAACTTAAGCTTTCCTTAAGCTTAAGTATCACCTAAGGATCAAAATCCATACTTAAAATCAACAAATAATCAATTAATCAGAAAACTCACTTTTGCCTTGAGCTTTCACGTAGGAAGAAGAAGAAGTTTGGAGAAATCTCTCCTTATCCTTATCCCCACATACATATATATCCTTATCATATCCTATTTTTAATTCATTTCTAAGTCAAATGACCATTTTGCCCTTTAATTATTTTAATAATTACTAATAACCATTCAGGAATTATTTTCAAATAAGTCATTAAACTATTCAATTATTCTACTTTAATCATCAAATTCTTAAGTCTTACAATTTAGTCACTAACCCGATATTGAGGATGTTACAGGAAAAGAATGAGTTTGGAACATAATGAATTGTCGATGATCACTTTATAACTTTTAATTGTTGAGGGACTCAAAAAAGTAACTCTTTATATATGGGACTATTTTTATAACTTTTAATAGTTAATAGGCTTAAAGCAATCTTCTATAGTCAGAAGAATATTTTTGTACTTTATCCTTAAATAGTTAATATTAATTAAGTTATGGGTAGATAGGATCTTGATAATATAAACATTATACCTTAAAATTGTATGTTTTTAAAAAATATAATATAAAATATGTATATTTATAAGACTATATTAGTATTTTTTATATTTAAATAGTAGTTTTTATTTATGCATCCTCTAATTTTTCACTCCACAATTAAGTTACTTCAATTTTTTTATTTTTTAAATATAAATATCTTATTTTCTTTTTCATCATTTTCTAATTTATATTTAAAAAAAATGATTGGTGGATTACTTTTGGGTAATCCTTATTACTATTCGGGTTAAAACAATCGATGCGTCCAAACACAACTACTCAAGGAACTTCTTCAGTTTCCCTTGCGCTCAATATTTTAACAAATTCAGAGCTGATTTATAGCTTTTGCCGTTATCAAGTTCCCCAATATTTCTCTCTATCAGGTCCCTTAAATATTTTTTTCTTTAATTTTCACCCATTCTGCTCTTCTTCGAATGTATTATCATATCTTCAGCTCTGTTTTTTTTTTTTTTGTGATATAAGATTGTTTAAGATCCATATGTTGTAGCCTGAATATCTCGATGACATGAAACCATTTTCGAATTTTTTATTATGGGTTGTTTTGATCTTAATGTATTACTCTGTAAAATAAATTGGGTTCTTTCTAAAAAAAATGATCTTTCTATTGTTATAATTTCTGGGTTGATTTAGTATGAAGATCTTGATGGATTGAACTATTCGTTTCTATTTTTTTTTATTATGGATTGTTTTTATTTGAATTCTGTTAATCTGTAAAAATAGGTTCTTTTATTGATCTTTATATTGTTATGGTTTTTGGTTGAAATAATCACAAATGTTATGGTATTAAATTGCAATTGCATTAACAGAATTTATAGAATTACTATGAAAGACTTGGATAGGGTAGATATTATTGATTAGTGTATATCTGATGTGATTTTGGATATTGAACTTTGAAGATATAAAGGAGCTGCGAATTGGAGTTCAAAAGATGCCAGCACAGAAAATCGAGACAGGTCATGAGGACGCTCTCCATGATGTTGCCATGGATCACTATGGAAGACGGTTGGCGACTGCATCATCTGATACTACCATTAAGATCATTGGTATAACCGGCTCTACTTCCCAACAGCTTGCTGTTTTACCTGGCCATAAAGGACCTGTTTGGAGGGTTGCTTGGGCGCACCCCAAGTTCGGACGGTCCTTGCTTCATGTTCTTACGATGGCCAGGTGATAATCTGGAAGGAAAATAATCAAAACGAGTGGCTGCAGGCTCATGTTTTTAATGATCACAAGTCATCTGTGAACTCCATTGCATGGGCACCCCATGAGCTTGGCCTCTGCTTGGCCTGCGGATCTTCTGATGGGAATATATCGGTCTTTACCGCTAGGGATGATGGTGGTTGGGACACCAACAGGATAGAGGACGCTCACCCTATTGGGGTAACCTCGGTTTCATGGGCACCAGCAACCGCGCAAGGTTATTTCATCGGATCCGGTCTACTGGATCCTGTTCAGAAGCTGGCCTCCGGTGGATGTGATAATACGGTCAAAGTATGGAAGCTGTATAATGGGACTTGGAAAATGGACTGCTCCCATTCCCTCCAGATGCATACCGACTGGGTGTGGGATGTTGCTTGGGCACCCAACTTGGGGCTCCCAAAATCCACCATTGCAAGCGCTTCACAGGATGGGAAAGTTGTTATATGGACTTGTGGTAAAGAAGGGGAATGGAAGGGTAAGATTTTGAAGGATTTCAAGACCCCAGTTTGGAGCCTCTCGTGGTCTCTGACCGGAAACTTACTGTCCATCGCCGATGCGAATAACAGTGTCACATTGTGGAAAGAAGCTGTTGATGGCGGTGAATGGCAAGAAGTGAGTACTCTTGAGACATGAAGTTGAAATTTTCTTTTATTCCTGCTTTATCTATCTGCAGTCGTTTTAACATCTGGAATAAGCAAAATCTTGTCATAGAACAATGGATTTCCTGTTGTAGAATAAGCAAAATCTCAATCAAAATCCAAAGCCCCCTCCCCTAGAATAAGCTTTTTACTTATTGGTTAAAAAATATTTTTTTGGCGAATAATAATTTAATTTTCTAATTTAAAAATAGAACAAATTATTAAATACCTTTATAAACATTTATTTATTCACATTAATTTTATTAACAGGAAATATAGAATTCAAAATTTATAAGAGGTGCAAAGTGGAAGCAGAAGTTGTTTGAATTATGGGGGAAAGAAGACATGTTAGCCTGTCAATGAGAACACTGCGTAACCCCATAAAAAAGCTTAATGTTCTCCACAAAATATAATGCAAAACCCCATTTACACAATAATGACTCGTATGATCTTACAAAATGTGCTACATTTCCTAACCCTTCGTTCTTCATTAACCAATTAGCATCAATCCAGGTACATATAAGAAACATTCCTTTGGCCCTTGCTTCAAGAAAAGCATGAAGGTTAGGTCATCTTTGAAAATTCCCAAAAAAGAGCAACCTAAATGGTTGTGGAGATATAAAGATTTGTGCTGTCGCGTTTACCGTTTTCCGAAGTTATTGTGACGCCGATAAAAATTTATGGAACAGTTGAACTCTAGCTTGATTATTGTATGAAGATCTGCATTGCGTTGAATTTCTTCTCCGACGAAAGAAGAAATCTTCGGTGTCCAACACATAGGAAGTCTGTCAATATAAAAAAAAAAAACCAAAGTAAATGTCAAGTACACAAGCAATTTCTTAGTGATACAGCAACCTACAAGGTATGTCAACTTCGGCCCAATAGGCCTAACAGTTTTGTCCACAAAAGGCACTTCATAAGTTGAAGACGACGTAAACAGTATATACAATCGAACTTTAACGCACAACGAATGTGGGATTCACGGCTCTTATCTAACACCACATGGCACTGTCCATATGGTTCATCACAGAAAAGAAAGAAAAGATTAAACCGGAAACAAATAACGGCAAGATACCTTGTATGAGTCGCAAGCTATCTTGTTCTCTAAACCATTAACCAGCTCAACACCTTCCATGGCGATGCAAGTAGCAGCAAATTCATCTAGACTTGAGTACTTCCTCTTGTTTCTGCATATATCAGTAAAGGAAAATCATACTAAGCACCAGATGTTTAACTTTTTGTTCAATATCTTTCTTGTTACAATCATCAATAATAATACATGAAAGGCTGGCAGATCCTAGCACCAGAAAAATGAATTGCAGAACTACAAAATAATTGATCATAATGTTATACTTACGAAATGTAATAATGTTATCAGATGTTACCTCTTTAGTGTAATTCCATGTGGCTCGTTTTTTCTAAGGAAGACAGACAGAAAATCATTGTGCAACGAAGCTGAAAAATTAGGTTCGATGGAAACAGCAAAGGCTTCAGGCTTTTCAATGACATTGTCCATCATCTGAATAGACAATCGAGATGACGAAGATGACTGCAAAAAGCAACCCAAAGTAAAAAAATAGTTATTCATGTCAACCTATGTATATCATATATGCAGATAGAAATAATATGCCATTCATGTGCCTTATAATGTTCCATCCTTTCTTATTTTTTTAAGAAAGAGGTCGTAAAGCAAAACTTACATATGTCAACCGATATATATTATCCTCGTGAAGAAGGACACGTGCATTCTCATAATACACTGGATCCATTGTCTTCCTATGTTTCCGGGATTTTTCATACTCAAACAATTGAAGAAGCTTATCATCCATCTCATCTGTTGCAACAGCTTGAAGCTGTAACAAAAACTATAATTCAGAACAGTTGTTGGAAAAACGAGGTGAGTTATAGTGAATGACCATCAAAGAAAGCAAACCTGCTTAACCAATCTATATATTAACTTGTCCAATGTGAATAACTCATATGAATGGTTTCCTATTATAGCTCGACATTCATTCTCAAACTTCGCATTGTCAGCAGAAGCATCAAGCAGACTGTAAAGCGCACTCATAAATCTGTGCAGTACAAAGAGATAATTTTCACATTAGAATACAAATGCATCAGACATTCTCATTGTTCAGTGATGAAATTGTTAAGTAACTCACCTAGCGTATAAATCTGAAGAACTAGCATCTTTTGAATTTTTCCACTTTTCCACAGCTGCTGAATTTGTTTTCGCTGACAGTATCCTTTCATAGAGAATCTAAACAAAAATTAAAAGGTTGAAGAATACTTATTAAAATGTAGAGAGAGAAAACAGAGAAAGAAAAAACTAAAAATATTTAATCCTACATACTCGATGAAGTCTGAAAAGAACATAGAAATCATCATTTGCATAAAATGCCCAAGAACTTTTTCCATCTTCAGGTGAAACTGCAGGTACCTGCTTTGCAAGAGGCTTCACTGTAAAAAGAAAATGTTCTGAAAATGACAAGGACATACCATCTGCTCCCACAAGTGAATCAGTAGCCCCTTCGGCTTCACCTTCACTTTCGGCATTACCATCAACATCATCATGATCTACCTCTTCGTCTTCATGGTCTTCAGGAGAGCATTCACCGCCTTCAGACTCACTGCCTGACGCATCATCATCAGCATCTGCGTCATTTTCTACTCCAGCATCCTCAGGATGCTCTTTGCCATTTCCAGACCAGTATTGTCCATTTTCAATACCATGCTTGGCCTTTGGCACATTCTTTAGACCATCATCGCCATAGGCAGCAAAATAATCCTCAAAATCACCACCATTAGGTGATAATTCACCTTCTTCTTTTTCAATTTTGGAAGGACCAGCAGATTCTTCATGATATCTACTAGCAGAAGAGCCATCTATATGCACTCCATTTACTAATAAAGCATGTTTTGTTACACAACCACCCTGAAGAACCAACAAAATTTACATAAGCTTATATGACTGAAAAATCAAAGGAAACAACTTCTTGCTTTTTAACCTCGACAAGAAGAAGAGGAGATTTAATCAAGGAAAGGAAGGTCACAGATATCATATATTGCTAAATTTTACCAGAACCAATTAGTGGCCGATATGTATAAACCCCTACCTCTGATGTATGTAGAAGATCAGCATTAGCTTCAGATTCATGACCCTCACCAGCAGCAGCGCTACTCAATCTAGATGTTGCTGCACAACATTGAAATTTAAACCAATCTCAGTGTTGCAACACAATTTTGGAAAGGAGGGTATAACCAAAAAAAAAAGTACTAATAAAAACAACTAGATCAGTAAACAAAAAAAAAAATCATGGAAAAGATTGTGATGTAAAACTTTTCTGACATACACACCTGAAGCCCCTTCAGTGTTGTTTCTACTTTGATTATTTTCTGCTTCAATTGCAAGGGCTTCAGTTCCGGTTGCAAGTATGTTAACTCCAGGCCTTTTATCAGCTATACACTTAATATCCTTCTCTAACGTTGAATCACCCATATAAACACGACCTGAGTGTTCTTTGGTCAAAGTTTCCCCATTTGTCAAACCATTTCTGCAATAGTTAGTTAGTTTCTGTGATCTGTTCTCATCTCCGTCGTTAGCACCCTTTTGTTGCTCAGAATTAACAGTAGCATCAGTTCCAGGACTTCCATCACTTTCAGCAATGCTTGATGCAGTACAGTTTACAGTAGGATTATGAGCTTTACCAGCATCTTCAGTACCCTCTTTGCTGCTAGGTCGAGGAGGAACACTCAACATTGGCTCCAAAAAAGTGGTCCAAAGCCTCATGACTTTTTCTAACTGTTCTTTGTTTGAGCACATCTCTTCACATGAATACTCCATAAGTTTATACAGATCTTCATGAATGCCAACATCTAAATAATCATATTCAAGGTGTGGAGCCAAGGCTTGTTTGTGTCCAGCAATGCTCGCCACAAGAACATCATCCTCGTTCTGGTTCTTCTCTTTCAACTCCTTGATTTCAGCCACTAAAGCTGGCAATTGCAAAGAAATATCAATGAGACAAAGTATTAAAGATGTGGAAGAGCATAAACGAACACCATATATTAGAAAATATTGTAAGAATCACCCTCAATCTTTTGACCAAATTTTGCAACAGAGGAAAATGCAGCATATTTGATATGAAAATTCCACTTACATTTTACACTCAAGTTCTTTGAATCCTGCTGCTTGAAATAGAAGCTGCGGTGATCAAGTGATTTGTAATGGTTTTTCAAATAAAGTTCAGCCCAAACCTTGTTAAAATCAAAACGGCACTTTGCCCACTCTTCTTGCTTCTGCTTCAGACGAGTTAAAATGACAGGTAATCCAAGAGCAGGATTTTTACGTAGTATTTCCATTACATCAAGACCATGGTCACCATATAAACGCTCAATGCACCTTAAATGTATAACTGCAGTAAGTAGTCCAGAAGAGGCCAAAAGTAAAAAAGATGGGGGGAAATGTTCACATTGCAGTGAGCTACACAAAATTTAATAACCTGATAATAAATACAAACCAGTAAAATGGTCTTCTATGGGAATTGGAGAATCCATATTGATTTTATTTTCATTAATCCTGTTCAGCAAGTCCTCAGCACGCTTGGCAGTTGAGCTCACAGATTCTAACAACATATCCAGCTCAAATCTAAGAACATTAAACAAAATGTCTAGAATGAGTTAATATCTAGAACTTCCAAAGGCCAAAATGAGCCAGAAAAATGAATCAGCACACATCGACTTTTTCTCTTCGTAAAATACATTCTCCACTTCACATTCAGTACATAAAATTGTAGCAGAAATAATAAAATACTCAAATTATGAAAGAGATGGAATATAGCCATTGCATATATTGTACCAGGGCAAACAGAGGACCAGCAAATTTTACCTATCATCCTCGCATCGGAACAAACTCTCTTCGTACTGATTTCTGCGCATGTGCTTAAAAGAATAATCCTCACTTCCAGATGTTACAGATACCCAATGGTCATTCAGCACTTGAGCACCAAGCTCTGATCTCTGACTAGCTGAAGGTATCGGATACTGAGAGACAAACCAAAATCAGTTCCAAATCATGCATAATTTGCAAGTTAACAAAAGTAACCAAATGTTTATACATCATCAGGTAGAAGCCGATAGCTCGGAGTACAACGTTGGCAGGTAGAAAGATCAAGCTCCTGTATGGATTTTGCCATATACTTCTCCCTGTATCTCTCCTTTTCCCTAGTTCCCTCCATTTCACGTTTCGGCTCTCTATCTTTTTCCTCGCCACTAAGTGATTCTGCAATTAAAAGGTAAACACCATTGCAGCTTACAGATTTTTTATATAAAAGAATATAATTTCCAATTTGGTCAAATAAAAATGAATTGTGTACATATAAGGAAACAAGAAACATACAAACAGCCAAGAAAAATAAGAAAATGTATATCAAAATGACAGAAAAGGAGGTCATTAGTTACATACTTTTACTAATAACACCAGCAAGAAGCCCCTCTGCAGAAGACATTTAGATTAGAAACAGCCATAAGGGTAAATAATCAATAACAAAAACTTAAAAGGATATTCCAGAAGTTCCCACTTACCAGTATTCTCACAACGCTCCAAGAACTGATTGAACTCAATCATAAGATCTGGATGCTTCCCAAGTAAATCGGTCACCTGAAATAGGCAGAAGTAATGTATCTAATTAAACTACCAGAAAGGTAGAAGGTTAAACATGCGCTTATCAATAATACAACAAAGTAGACTTAGCAATTTGAAAAGTCAGAGATAACTGCTCCAGATGGTGTAAAACATACCAAATTGTGCAAGTCATTTCTTTTGATTATTCCATTGCTGTAAATGTTAAGGCACTTTAAGAATGCCTGGTAGTCATCTGAGCTGCATAACCTCTCCTTAACTTTCTCACAGAACACGAACCCTTGGTTGCACATGCCTGAGATTGAATAGAAAACCATAAGTCTTAAAAGGTTGATATTTGAAACAAAGAAAATGCACATTACCCCCAATGTCATTATACAAGGAAACATATCTGAAAGCTTCAAAAGACAAGCTGAAAAGGCTCATTAACAATAATTTAGGATAACAAATTCCGATTATCAAAAGTTTATCATAAACCAATCAAAGGTTGAGCGACTCACTTTTAAAAGTATCTCTGTCATCATAAGAAGCAAATCCTTCAATCTTCCTCCCATGTTTCTTTTTATCAGGAAAACGATGCAAATAAAAATCCCTATTGTTGTCATGCTTGGGATCATCTAGATCACGAATTCTCCTATCCCTATTTTCCTTTTCGACGCGCCTTCTCTGCTCCTTTTGCATTCTCATCATAGTTTTGTCATCGTCCAGTTCAGGATGATCAACACGATCAGCATGGGAGGTAATAATCCTATCCCTTCGACGCTGCTAAAAAAGTTTGATCATTATTTCATATAATAATCAGATTTAAGAATAGAAATTTACAAGAAAACACTTGTTAACTGACAAAAGAGAACAGTTACCTTGTCCATCTGTATTTGCCGCAAGGTAACTGTAGCAGAGCTTCTCTCATTATAGCGCTGAGTAGAATTTTGACCATATGAAACTTGTTGCGTCAAAGGTGCTGCTGAAGAATTTGGTAAAAATCTTGTGAACTCCTCAAGCAGATCCGGATGGTCTTTAAAAAGAGAAGCAACCTGAAATCAATGAAACAAATAAGTGATGTTTCCCTGAGGCCGGAGGAGAATACATTGAGATATTAAGATTCAGTAAGTATCAAAGAGCCAATGAACATAACAACCAAAACAAGACATATTACCTCACTATAGACCTCATTTATGTCCTTGTGCACCTTCCGGTACATATTCAAGATATCGAGGAATGATTTATATACATGCTCATCATTTTGAAAACGTTTCTGTAGTAAAATGGATAAATTAGATAACAAAACAGGGACATTAGTAAAGCAAAAGATCACACAACTATTTCACCTTTATTTTATTTACAAAACTGATTGCTTCATCAAATTCAACAGTCTTTTTTGGTGGAGCCTCATCCTCATCAAGGGTTATTTCATATCCCTTTGGCAGGAAGGTATTAAATCCGTAAATTAAGTTGTTATGCCCTTTGAATAATGCTTTAACTCGGGCAATGACACCAATTGTGTCGGTTCTGCAAAAGACGGAAGATGGATCGAACATTCAGTAGTTTAAAGCAACAATCCATTGTCTATTCCATTTATGGAACATAGCATTTGAAAAACAGAATACCTCAGCCTTGAAATCCTTCATGACTTCAAGGAACAAGTCATACTTCTCTTTTTGATCCTGAAACATCCCCTTGACTTCCTTTAGATATGTTAAAGCATCATATGTAGTCAGTTTCTCTGATACCCCTACTTCTTCTCCTACACTTGCCCCTTCCATTCCTCTACCTCCCCCTCCTCCACCTCACCCCCACCACTACCTCCTCCACCCCCACCCCCACCAGCAGTCGGCATTTGGTTTTGCCCATAGCTTCATTGATAGAAACAATAAAAATAATTAAGAACCACAGCCATTTGACCATCACCAAATAACCCTAATATACTTTCAACAGATGATTACTCTTGAAAAGAACCTAAAATCCCATTCAATCAGAAGTAAATTTACTATATATTGCAAAACCAAGTGGTAAATCCTACTTAAAGTAATGACCCCAGAGTCACAAAAAACCCACATGATTTAACCAAAAAAAAAAGGACAAGTTAAAATCATAAACAAAATACTCGATTCAAGTTATATACAAAACAAACCATCAAGAAGTTCACCAAAATTCCATGCTAACCTTATCAAACACAACCATCGAAACTGACAACAATAACAGGCCAGTAATCAGAACAAAAACAACCAATATTAACAAAAAGAATACGCAAACTTTCATATAAGAACAAAACCATCCATACAAATCCTCAAAAGAAGAAAAGCAAACAACTGACGATTCGGGCCTTGAAGAGCCAAATGGACGTTTGAAATGCGAACCAAATGCAAATCATCTTTTGCTCGCTTCATCCTGTAAACCAAAAGAAGAAAAAAGAAGTAGATTTGTATTCTATAACAGGATTAAATCTTTGAAGAAATTAAAAGACACCCTTTTCAACAATTGGGTCAAAGGAACTTACTTCTTAAGTAACAAATCTTAAAGAGGTAGAAAAGACAGAAACACAATCCAGTAGCCTTCTTTTCTCTTATGATCCTTTGTGTTTCTTAATCTTCGGTTCTGTGAGAGAGAGAATAGTTGGAGAAGCAGAATATATGCGAACGAAAAGAGAGAAACTTTGGTACGTGGGAGAGAGTCAAAAATCTGAATTAGAAAATACTATTAAAATTGGTTTTCGAAAACTGATGAGGGTGATACAGAGATTGCATGTTTGAGTTTATTTACAAACTTGCATTGCCTCAATGCCTCTCACGATATCTATATATAAATGAGAGTTTCGATTTTTGATATTTATAATATGAAAATTAATTTAATTTTAGAATAAATAATTTTAAAATAAAAATATGTTTGATTTATATAATGTAAAATTAATTTTAAAATTTTTTTAGATGTAATATTAACCGACACATTAGTGATATATTACATTAACTTTTTTTTTGTTTATTTGATAAAAATTTAGGATATATTATTAAATGTATCGAATGATCTGGTTGTATAGGTAACAAAGAGTGTTGTTTAGGTTTTATATTAACATTTCGATTGATATGGCAAGATATATTTTAATGACATCTATCGATATTATCATTGCTTTCGAGTATTAGTTTTACGACATTATGTTTAAAGTAATGGTTCAAATGATTCTGATATAATATTTTATCATATCTTAATTAATAGGTTAATGTCGTCTCAATTGTTTTTTAAAAAAATGACGAATTTAGAACATACGAGTAATCGGATGATCATTTTATAATTTTTAATAATTAAATAACTTAACAAAAAAAACAACACTCTTTGGAGTATTTTTAATTTACTTTTAATATAATTTTATCAAAATATATTTTTATGATCCTGATACCTTATTTAGTAACCTTTGATTTGTCTAAGAAAGTAAGAATAATATGTATAGTTCGATCTCCTGAATAAGTTGATACTGTCAAACAATGGGCTTTCGGGTTCAATCCCGTTGCAATTATCTATTTTAGATAGAGGTGTAGGTTTTCTGTAGGATCTCTCATTAGGGATGGGCTTAGAGGGTGTTTGGAGTAGGACTGTATATCAATCGAGTTGAGTTCGAGTATTATTAAATTCGAGTTCGGCTCAAAAATTTTAAAATTGAGTTTTAATCAACTCAAAAATTCGTGCTTCTAATTCGAAATATAAAATTGAAGCTCGATTTGAAACCTCATGAGCTTAAATTTTAAGTTCCATCAAAGATTGGGGTTTGACTCGAATTCATATCCGAACCTCAAGTACATGAAAGACTTATATTGTATTTTTCTTTTAAAAAAATAACATATAGATATTGATATTATTAATAATTTAATTTTAAAAAATTCAAAATTTTAATATATTGTTTTTTTTCGAGTAGTTAGTGAGTTTTTCGAGTTAAACATCAAGTAGTTTGCTTCTGCTTGTTAAGAACTCGAGTTGAATTCAAACTCGAGTTGAGTCCATTTGATTCGACTATTACCGAGTTTTGAAAAAATAGAACTTAAATATCTTGCGATTTGTCCGTCTCATTTACAGTCTTAGTTAGGGGTACAATTGCACTCCTAAAAAAATTTAAGGCTTAATTATAAAATAAGTGTCCAAACTATATCGCTTTTCATGAATTGATACTTAAACTATTTTTTGAATGATCTTGATGCCTAACGTTACAAACGTTATCATTTTAGATCTTAGGCCGTAAACAACATTAATTTCCTCTATTAAGTGACACATATCACAATTTGGTAATTTTAATTTTTTTAAAATTTATTAAAATTATTATTATATTTATAAAAAAAACTAATTTCTCTTAAATTACAAAAATCCCTAAAATCCTCAAATCTTAACCTTAAACCCTACCATCGCCCTTTCCGACCATAACCACCGCTATCGATGTAGTCCATGTTATCCTCCAAGTCATACGTCGTCGTAGTTGTCGTTGATTGGATGTTGGAATCATGTGGGATTGTGATTTTCATCTTAGAGTTCTCAGGGTATAAAATGTCGATTCGCCTTCGATCGGTCACGATTTCATAGGGGTTTTAGTCCAAGGGGGTGTGAGGTCCGATGGAGCTTCGTCGACGGAAAAGGGTGGTGTCCTGCATGGATTTAGGGGTTGAAATGAAGGTTTTCAAAGTTTTAGGGTTATTTCGAAATTTATGTGCTTTTTAATATAATTTTAAATAAAATATTTAAAATTATCAGAACATGACACATGTCACTTAACGGGAGAAATTAGCGCCGTTGACGGTCCAACATCTAAAGTGGTAACATTTGTAACGTTAAACACCGAAATCATTCAAAAAATAATTTAGATACATATTCGTGAAAAACGCTCTAGTTTAGACACTTATTTAATAATTAAGCCAAAATTTAAACCTCAACCGAATAACAGATGATCCATGTTCGAGGTTCATCGGTCATCGCAAACAGTGGCCGAGGAAAATCCGAACAGTTAGATGGTTACCCTCTGATTTTCAACGACCACGATAATGAATCAACGTACAGAAACTTGATGGTTTGGTGACATGGTTAAGACCTTCAGGAATTTTTGTACCTACGTACTTATATTGTTTGTATCACGACAAAATTTTTAAAAGACAAAATCAGTTAAAATAATTTACACAAATCAATTATTTTAAATAAAAATAATTTAATTTCAAAATCAAAATAAATTCCTATTAGTTTGTCCATTATTTTAATGAAATTTGAGTTTAGATATTTCAAAACTAAAAGGAGAAAACCAAACTCCTTTGTATCACTACAACGCTATCCAACACGCATTTAGGTTGCCTAACTTCCACGTGTCTTATATGATCACCGTCCATCACTTAAAAGACTTTTCAAAGCTGAAGTCTTTGGCCGAGTTCGACGCTGTCACCGATGACTTGAAACAGCGTTCTTTTTTCTTAAAGAAAGTACACAAAATGTTATCAATTATACTACTATTTTGGAGTTTTTCACTCGGGACTAATGCTATTACGCAAACAGCCGGAAATTTTGAAGCCCCTTCATTTGGAATATAAAAAAGTTACGATCTTTGTGTTATTTTTGTGAATTTCAAAGGAATTTAAAAAATGGGTAGTTGTGTTTCCAAGGAAGGAACCTTTGGGGGATTGACAAAGAAGAAGAACAGGAAGATTTTGTGTAAAAGAAGGATCATTAGAAGGAGGGTTTCATCTCGTAAGCTCGAGAATGGGGAATTTGTTGCTGGTTCTAAGGATTTTTCTCGTGCTAGTTCCACTATCCAAGGTTTTCTTCACTCTTGATTACCCTTTCCATTTTATTGGTTTTTGGTTTTTGAGATTGTTGAATTTTGTTGCTTAGTTTTTGATTTCTTGGATGGATTGGTTAGGGGTAGGAACGAACTTTATTAGTACAATCTTGTTTGATTTAGTTTTTGATTGAAACATAAATGAATGAAGTTCTAGTCTTGAAACATAAATGAATATGTTATGTATATAGTACATGCTATAAATTTGATATTGATATATGGTTTGGTTGCTATTGACAGGAAATGCAGACATGGCTTGGCGTGATTGTTTGTCAGTGTTTGAATCTGAATTGGATGAAGAATTTTATAGCGTACATGATGGTATGTGTTCAGTTTTGATCAGTTTAATCTCCATTTCCCCTAATGAATTAGGTTGGTATGGATTTAAATTGTAATCTCATTTCGTGTTGTTTGCAGATAGTGACAGATCCGAAAATCCGTCTGTGTTGACTCTATCATCTCAATCGAAGGTAAATGATCATCCAACCGAGGGCAATCCTGTTTCTGTGGATGATATTTCTAGTGAAAGTATTCGTGCGGATGAAAAGCACGCGGCACATCATATCGAGCTTCTTTCGAATAATTGTTTGCCTTGTATTCCTTCATCTGCCCTTTCACTTGAGAGAAAAAGATCGTTTAACCCGGTAATCCTAGTTCAAAGAAGAAAGCACCTCTGAAACTATCCTTTAAATGGAGGGAGGGACATGTCACTCCGACATTAGGTGGGTTAACGCTACTGGCGTTTTCTTTATTATCCGTGAGCATCTTACTTATTTATCATATGCCATATGTTTATGCGTGCATGTTCTTGTTTTGTTTTAGTTTCTCCGAAATGCCTGTACAAAGACCAGTAGCCGGTACCTCAGTCCCATGCTGTCCGAAAGGTAAGAACATGCCTGATTGTTGGTTTCCTCTTGAGCCAAGTTCTTTCAAAGTCCGTGGCCGCAACTACTTTAGGTGAGAGCATATATTCTTCATCGGTTTTACTTGCTTACTTTTGTCTGTGTTGTTATACGTTCCTTTCCTTGTTATTTTTGCTGTTAACAGCTAACTAAATTCATTGATACTTCCATTTTCTCTTTTGACAGGGACAAAAAGAAGGAATTTGCTTCAAACTCTGCAGCCTTTATTCCCTTTGGAGTTGATCTCTTCTTATCTCCACGGAAAATTGATCACATTGCTCGTTTTGTGGAACTTCCGATTTTTAATTTATCCGAAGAAATTCCTGCTATTCTTGTTGTTAATATTCAGGTGCTTTCACTTTATTCATCTTTTCCTAGGACTATTTTCCAGACTAAGATTGATGCGAAACATTTCCTCCTAAGCTTTAGATAGAGCTATTATCGTTTAACTAAGTGATTATCATGTTGTTCGATCGTAAATTCCTTACGTTCTTTGCTTGAAACTGAAATACAAACTTATGTGTACTCGATGTCTTTATAGCTTCAAATTTCTTTGTCCGATCCTTTTGAATTTTCTATTTATTGCCATTTTCTTATGGACTGCAGATTCCTCTGTACCCTGTTACAATCTTTCAAAGTGAAAATGATGGAGAAGGGATGAATTTTGTGTTGTACTTTAAACTATCCGAAAGTTACTCGAAAGAGCTCCCGCTTCAGTTCCAAGAAAATATTATCGTAAGTTTAATGCATTTATTATTTTCTGCTTCTATATTAGACATCGAATTATTGTAAGGGACTTGCTTTGGACATTGCTTTGTTGTTACCTTATTTCATTAACATTTCTCCTTGATACTTGTACCAACAGAGGTTAATCATGACGAGGTCGAGCGAGTTAAAGGATTCCCGGTTGATACGATTGCACCCTTTAGAGAAAGATTAAAAATAATTGGCCGAGTGGCGAATTTGCCAGATCTTCATTTAAGCACAGCTGAGAAGAAGCTTATGAATGCTTATAATGAAAAGCCCGTTCTCTCGCGTCCTCAGCATGAGTTTTACTTGGTATTTTTTCGCCCTCCATTTTTCTTCTTTTGAACGAGATTGTTCCGTAATAAATACCATGGACTCTGATAGTTCTATACTTAATGATGCGAATGATTCCGATATGTTAAAACACTTTCAGGGCGAAAACTACTTCGAGGTCGATTTAGATTTGCACCGATTTAGCTACATTTCTAGAAAAGGTTTCGAGGCGTTTCGGGACAGATTTAAGCTGTGTACACTGGATTTTGGCTTGACGATCCAGGTAAATCTCTCGACTACCCAAGGTTGCTTTCTATGTTTTGAGATTTCACTCGGACATTTCCATTGATATAGTTCCGACGTCTGAACAGGGAAATAAAGCCGAAGACCTGCCGGAGAACATGCTGTGCTGCATACGGTTGAATCAAATCAACCAGAACAATTATGGTCAGCTGCAGTTATAGGCAAGATTTCTTCATTTTACAAAGGCGAATGCTTAGATATTGGTTTTGCCATCCAACCGGAAGTTGACGGAGAACATAAATAAAATTTTCATTTATTTATTTTACCATGAGTGAGGAATTAATCTTTGCAAGTTGTATCGTGCTTTTTTTTTTCACGATCAGTTCGTATCATTTTATTCTTCTGTATAGATATATTCAGATCGCCAAGGTGAACAGTATTGTATTTAGAGTCAAATTCATTTGATTTGAGTGTTAACTAAATTTTAATCGTGTCAAACTTAAATAACTCGCGATTTGTATTGTCTAATTTACTACCCAATTTGAAATCGAAAGAGTCGACGTGGATTCACTTTGTTACCGACCATTTCTCGCCCTTAATCACCGGGCAACTTCCATGCAAACTCTGGGAATCAGTCGTTGCATCGAGATGAAGATTGAAGAACGGCAAAGCATCGCCTTTTCTGGGTTTCGCTGCAACAACAAACACAGTCTGAGAATATATAGTAAGCTTTTCATAGAGTCTAATAAAGGGCATGGTAATACCTGCATATCCATCTTTGGCACAATCTGGCCAGCTTTCGTCCTTGAGCCGAGTAAATTTTCCCTACAGAAGACAAATTGAAGACCGATGAACAAAACGAACATGAAGAGGAAATTCGCAGTCAAATTGTTACCTCATAATTGGGAAACACAGTTTCCCCTCAGCTCTCGACATCGGATAAATACATCAGTACGGTGGCGATACGGTGACCGCCGCGCTTTTGGTTGGCCTTGTCGAGATAAGAAAAGAAAATGCCTTTCCACATAGATGTCGAAATTGCAGAAAAACAAGAAGCAAAAAACAAGAAGCAGGAACATACAAGGATGGATTAATCTCTTGAAAATATAAAATTATCCTATGATTTATATATCTTTTTATATCTTATGTTGATAATTTGATTTTATCTTAAGATTTTATAAATTTATTCTTAATCTAAAACCTTGTCTACGTATCTAGGAACACACCTTCCGGAACGAAGGTCCATGCAGCAATCCTACCTTCAATATCAGCAAAAAACACCACGAAAGGATTTAACTTTAAACAATAAGAATATACAATTAGGATCAACATTGATGAAATCGAATCAAAAAATTCAAGTTAATTTAATTGATAATATCTATTTTATAATTTAAATTTTATTTGAAAATTTTTAATTAAACGAATTTATGAAATTCGAGTTGAATTACTTGAAATTCTATTTAAATTTAGTATAAATATTTATAATGTTATAATACTGAATTATTCCAATTTAAACTACTTTCTATAATTATATATATATATGTTTTAATATGTGATATACATATTTGATATACCATGCAGAATTAAGAGATTCAACTCGAACTTAAAGATCAATTTACTAATTCCTAAAAACTATGATTTATTCAAGACTTATTTTATAATTCAAACTTTGTTTAAATTTTTTGTTAAGTAAACTTCATAAAATTACGAGCTAAGTTGAGTTATTTAACTTTAAATCGAGTTAAAAAATTTTGATAAGTCAAGTTGAATTTTACTCCCCCATATTACAAAGTTTTTCAAACATGATCCATAAACACAAACACATGTAAACAGAGCTGAATCAACATATGATAGCGTGAAGTAGAAAAATAGTTTTCTAGCACCCCATAACTTTATTTGGTTTCTGGCCCACGGTGCCATCATTTCCAGCCAAAGCTCTATACTTATCTTTCCTAGTAAAATCTGTATATTCATATCATAAGCTTGCAGCGATCATTCTTTGTATGTAATTGGCAACTTCATGGCTTGATTTCCCACCGCTGCATGTTAAATCATGTGGCAACTTGTTTAAGAATGTTATTTCATAAGCCTGGCTAGGATTCATGAAGAAGTAAAACGGGTCCATCCTTTTCCACCCTCTAGCCGTCGTTCCGTGGAACATGCTCATCTTATTCGACATCGCTACAGGAACAAGTTCGTCGGTTAACTCCACAAAAAAAGCCGAAAATCTCAGTAAAATTGGTTCTCTACATGTTGTTCCTTCGGGGCAGATGACTAGGTCGCCTTCGTGTAAAATCTTTTTCATCATGGAAGCATCCGCGGCATGATCGCGACTAAGACGGGCTGTCTTGATAGGGGAGATGATTTCAGATAATCGCGACACGGAGTATGTCACGGCGGCTACCGGACGGCCTAAAGCCGTGGAGAGGAGGATAGGGACCTATGAGAGCATATGAAAAGGACTCCAGTTTGACCTATTGATTTTTTAGCCGGTGCGGGTGGTGCCCTTTATGTAAACTCGTACACGAGTGCCCAAAAGGCATAATACACTAAAGTCTAAAGGCATCGGGAGGAGGGAGCCGGCAGCGATGCGGAGGCAGGCGAGGAGGAAGCCGACAGGGATCCAAAAGATGATGAGAAGTGCCATGAATGGCGTTGGTTTTTGAACAAGCCGGCCATCATGGAAAACTATTGGTTTCGGTAGTTTTATCGAGGCTCACCGGTTTAACTTCAGGTTTTGCTGGAACCACATAACTTTCCTGCAAACCAAAATAGAAAGCGTTTTAAACATAATATTAAATTACGGTAACATAGCATTTACAAATACGACACAAGATTAACATAACATTTTAACTGTTTCATGTGTCACCTTAATAGTTATTAGACATATACGAATTCGATTTTTGTTATCTATAATTTACTATTCTGTAAAGAGTGTACTTGAAAAGAGTTGCACCTTGCACAATCTCATGAAAGGATAATCAGACTTTGGATCACCAAGAGCAATATTGGGCATAGGCTCATCATTAAAGGCATTCACAGGTGCATCGTCCTTGTTCTCTCCCACAAGAATCCCTGGATTCTTCACCAAACCAGTTGCTCTACCTTTAAACACATCGATTTCGGTTCCGATCACCGTATCGGCTCCCAAAAAATCCTTCAAAAACGGCTCCACCATAACCCTAGGGTTCGCCGTGAGCACGCATCTCTTCCCACACGAAGAGAACACCCTCCAAGCCTCCGGATGCAAATCACTGGAGTAAAACTTTGGCAAAACAGCTCGAGCCACGGTTTCGATATCGGAAACTTTCAATCCGACGAAGCTCGTGAAGATTAAAACCCGAATACCGGCCGGTTCGGAGATGAAATAGTAAAGAATCCCGGCTATAGGGGAAGCTAAAAGCAAGAAGAGAAGTCTGAATACGCCGCCAACTTCAAAGGCGACAAATGCAAAGTAAAGGAAAGAGCTTCGTCCTCTTAACAGGGTTCCGTCCATGTCGGCCACCACCGTGTTTTTTTAACGTCGGATTGATGCACATCGGGCAATGCTTGGAAACAATAAATTACTCTTTCCCTTTGGTTTCGCCATTGTTAGGCTTTTAGAACAACTTTTCTCCTCCAAACATTTTCGGAATCTTAAATGAAAACTCAAAAATAGCCTCTATAGAAACAAAGTATATTTTATTAATTTAACATCGTATAAAAATGATTAAACTCATTTCGAACATTAATTTCATTGTTTTGTTAAGAAAACACTTTAAATAAAAGAATAAAAAATCAAATTTAGGTATGAATTATGATATGGAGCTTGATTTTGAATAATAAATTAAAAAAATAAAGAATAATGTATTATATTATCATTAGATTGAGATTGGAGAAGACTCAAAGTTAAAGAATATTTGGTAAATTGAGAAATGCGATTTGTAAAAAGAAAAAGACAAATATGATTAAATATAATTCAAAATTAAATAAATTAACGAGAGAGATGGAGAAAGGATGAGAAATTGAGATTTTTTATGAAATTGAAAAACTTAGAGGCCTTAATTATAAAGATTGAAATTGAGATTGAAAAAAAAATAAAGGTCTCAATTATAAAAGTATAATCTAGATTGGAAAAACTTAGGGACGCTAATTATAAAGTTAAAAAAATAGGAACTTCAATTATAAAGATAGAAATTGAGATTGAAAAAACTTAGGGGCCTCAATTATAAAGGTAGAAAAATGTAGAAATTGATATTGAAAAAACTTAAGTGCTTCAATTATAAGTTAAAAGGTGAGATTAAAAATTAGGGGCCTCAATTTTAAAAGTAAATAAAGGGATTGAAAAAATTATAGACCTCAATTATAAAGATAAAAAGTGAGATTGAATAAAATTAGGACCTCAATTACAAAGATAAAAAGTAAGATCTAAAAAATTAAGAACCTAATTATGAAGATGAAAAATGGAGATCCTGAGCAATCGCTTAGGTATTAAACGCGTTAAGTTTTTAACGGTGAGATAGTAAAATAAAACAAAAACTAAACATTAGATATGATTTTTAAAAAAATAAAAATTTATGTACTAAAATAAACTAAAACTGATAGTTTATATACTAAATGAGTAGTTTACCCAATTTAAGTTGTAAGTCGTAGTCATATTTGTAGAAGAACAATAATCAATACATAAGACAAAGCCTCAATTTTCAACAACATATTTGATTATTTCCCATTCCGTCTCATCACCGAAATTTCATGCCAAAAAAGTGAATTAAATTGAAAATGACACGTGGTTTTCAACTATTGGCCTAAACGGATTTAGGAAATTGCTAGGTTATCACTTAATAACCATCTTGGGTTGATTAAATTCATCGAATAAATCTTATCTTTATGTCGGAGATCATGAAGTTTGAAATTAAAATTCGCAATTCATGGGAAACTACCCAATTGACTTCTAGGTCAATTCGACATTTAATTTTTTTTATTTATTAAGTTATGGTTAATTATAAAGTAGTATATGTTTTAAAAAAATTTAATTATTTGACAATGAACGCTCAATCATCCTGCTACAGTCGTTGGTGCTCGAATACATTACCTCTAGGAACAATAACGATTCATTTAACCACTGAGGTAAGATGGTTCCTGCTACATTTAAATTTATTTTATATTTAGTATAATAGAATAAATAAATATAATCTTTTGATCAATGAAAATTGGCATTATTATTATATTATTAATATAATACTTCGCGATGTTAAATTAATAATCTATAATATTAATATAATAG